ATCAAAACTCTAAAGCACAAAGACTTTTGGGCAGAAAATTTTAACAGGATTCTAAAAATTATCAAAGTTTATATTTGCAATTATTTTAATAATTATTTTGGTCAAAATTTTAAGATATGTATTTCTCAAACTATGTTTTTCTTCATTTGGTAATGCTTTAGCGCTTCATCTCTCAAAATGACTTTTCTTGCCCTTTTTCTCTTTGAAGAAGGGAATATGTAAGATAAAAAATATGCAAATCAAAATTATAACTTAAAATCAGCAATAGCTCCTTTATTCTTCATTTTAATTTGGGTATTTTCTCTTTCTGCTCTAAAAATAGCAAAGCTTATTACAACTTTTCCTGGACTGCATACTTTCTAGATTAATCCGTATCATATGACTTTTACATAACTCTGGTAACGTAAATGGAACTCAAATTCAAACAGCCAATAAAAATTTTACAGCATTATTAATTATTCAGTCAAATGCATTGAAAATGAAACTAACCCATTCTTAATTAAGATTTCATCATGAACACTTCTGTTTCTGTTGCTGCTATTATTGTCAAAAATGTAAATTTTGTGGTCTGGGACAGGCACGTTTTGTGTGTCAGTTTATTTGTGGGCGCAAAGTGTTTAACTATAATAAAAGAAATATGATTTAAATCAGGTATGATTGCGTCATATTGCATCTACACGATTTTCAAGTTTATTCCTCAGTACGGTTCATCTGTATGCGCTTCAACATCTATCTGCGTCATTCCAATTCATCATATATATATAAGCGTGTGGTGCTTTATTGTATTATTTTGCACCCACTTTTGCATGTGTCATTTACATCATTAAAAGTTGTCCTCATTATATGTATATACTAATGTACATTATACGTATATATATTGGCGTTATATATTATTACTGATGCAAGTATATGCAAATAATTCAGCAAAGCTTCATTAAACGTACTTTTTTATTAGGGGCGAACTCAAGATGGTAAATAACCCAGCTAAATTCCGCTTTGAACTTTTATTTGTTTGTTTCTGTACGGAGAAAATTACTAGCCTCTATTTTCCGTATTTAGATATTGAATTCTCACACTACTTTTCGTTATCGAGTTATTTGGATATTCCTGCAAAAATAAGAAAACAGAATGTTTTCTTCATCGAAAGATGGCAGCACTATTCAAACAAAGTAGGGAGAAGCCCCGTAATGAGCATTTTGCAGAAATAATTATTTGAGGCTAATTTAGCAGCTATTTTATTGAATTAGATACTAGCTATACTTTCTTCACACACTGATTCTTTAAAATCACGCTAAGTAATCGCTTTTCCATCTCTGTAACAAACAGAAAATGAGGAGCATTAAAATTTTTTCTCAGTTGAGGTTGAAATCGTTACCTGTCGCCCGCTGCTTGGAAAACCGGACTGAAAGTTATCCGAAATCGTTAAAAAATGCGAGTAAAACTTGGACACAATTTTAATTAAAGCAAGATGTTATAGCATAGCATAAACAAATTATAATGTATCAAAATTAGGAGTACATAGTTTAGTATCCATTTATATTTCTGAAAACTTCAGCTGTTTCTTTTTTGAACAATGCGCGATAATTTTCTTTTGTTGTAATATATTTTCAGTGCTTTCAACTCAAAAAAATACTAGCAATTATATTTTTAAATATTCTTTAAATGGATAGTATGTTTAAAAATTTACTAAGGACTTCGTTTATTTAAAATTTAAAGACTATGTTTATTTTAAAAGGAGACTATGCTCAATAATACCCAAAATTTTGCATTAAAAATGCTTCTCTAAAACTTTCCAGTTGTATATTGCAGAATTATTCGGTTCATTCATTCATGTGTGATTACTACGTCTTCAGCTCAAATAATATGAACATGCTATTTCGGAATGGAGATTTAAAATCTGTGCTTCAAACTAAGATGGTTACCTTTCCCGTTCTGGTATTAAAACACATTTCTATCTCTGTCTCTAAATACTAGTCTTATGAATGTTTGAATGCAGCGGTTTATAAAGAAATTTCTGTACTATTTTTTAAGTTTAATATTTATCTGTATAAGTTTTAAATAAATCGGCTCCGTGCTTTTTTCCTTCTCATTCCCTTATAATAACTGAAACTGTGTAAGCAAGAGAAAAAATAAGTAAGCACGAAACAAAACGCTGCAAATAATTTTAAAACAGCACGGCACATCAAAGGCATGAATGACATAGATACTGACATGAAACGTCTACGGCTCTAAGACATACCGGTTTAATAATTTTGTTTTCTTTTCAGCAGAGGAAGCATTAAACGCATTTGCCTAACTATAATTTTATTCTAAATTTTTTCTGAGAAAGGTAATTTATATTAACATGGTATAAAATGTCGAGTTTGTATTTCATTAGTAAGGCGAAGAAATATTTATTGCGTTGATGAATTCATGCAATAAAGAAATGAGGCCAGGAAGAAAGTTAGCACATAGTAGTTAGCAATCACATTATAGAAAATTTCACATATTCATGGGAAATCTTTGAATTTGTTTTACGCTTATAACACGGACTGGTTATAAGCGTAAAACAAATTCAAGATCAAAATAATTCCTAATCTTCTGTTTCTGGAAGGTTTGTATATCGAAATCTTATTGTTCCAATTATAATGTAAGGTGTTGGCGCATGGGGTTATCGAGCGGGAGTACTGTTGAGATTAAGACAGAAAGTGGGTAGCTTGCAGAGAGGTTGGATGCTGGCGGTCACAATATCTTTTAGGACGGTCTCGATGGAGTTGGCATGTATTTTTGCCAGTGTGACCCCTGTCCCATAAGAATATAAATTCCACTATAATAAATTTCTACTAAGGAATGGCCTTGCGGAAGGACTTGAAATTCTGGCTATAAATGACAATACTAATGTTTTTGAAACAAATAATAACACTGAAATTCATTCTACAGAAATTAAAAGTATCGTATTTGATAAACATTTTATGGGTATTGGACAAATACACTGAATATTTAATAATAGGAAAAATACTGAAAACGACTGCGGAGTCGGATGTGCTTTCGTTGCATATTTTTATGAAACAAAACTAAAAATAGGAAATACAGAATAGATAGGCTGAATACTGTTTATCAAGTCGAACCTGCCAAGTCTATTTTCTATGCTTTGAAATGGATAAAAGAAATTTGAGTTTATAAACACGTTACTTATATACATTCGGATGTGTTTTCTATTTTAGAAGTAATTCCCAATCATCATAGTGACAATATTCTGATTAATCAGATTAAAAGTTCAAAGTTTTTGAGGGAAAATCATAAAATATATCTACATTAGTTAAGGCCCACGTGGGTTTTCCAGAAATAAGAAGGCGGACAACGAGAGACAAATGAAGCTGGCTAGGATAAACAGATCAAGACCTGTATGTATTGTATTCGCGAAGAAGAATTACAACGTTGATGAAACTAGAAATTATTGAACATTGGAAAGAAGGCTGGAAATCATCCGAATAGAACAATGGCTTTCATGCGACATATTGAGATTAATCAGAAGCTGGCAATATGCAATAATGATGATGTAAATCAGATGCTTACTGGACACGGATGATTTCCGGCTTATTTATTTAGATTTTAACTTGAAAACAATGAAACCTGGGAAATTTGTAATATTAAGGACAGTAATGTCCACTTCGTCGAGACCTGTCTAGCAACTAAGAACATTCTGCGGGATCATCAGTTGAATCTTGAAACTGATTTTAAAAATTATAAAAAAATTAAATAAAATTATTAGGGAGATAAAATAGCAGGAAGATCAAATTTGGAATATTGGTTTGAGTTATTATTTTCATTCATTTTTTGTGGATGTTAGATTTATATTCATCAGCCGTCTTTTAAGTTTGTTGTTTTGTTTTAATTTTTAAAGATTCACGGGTGCTACTGGCTGGGCAAATCCCTGAGAGCCTTAAAAGCCTGAATGTAGGTTCACCTAGGTGGGGTGGGGGCTGTTTCCCTTTCAATCACCAATTACTTTTTAATAAATATCTGTGAACCTCAGATCCTTAAACCAGATGAATGGCTATCCACGTATCAATAAAAACAACGTTTTCTATACGCAGGTTAATCAAGCAAAGGGACATTCATCTTCATGCGATCGAAATTAATCTAGATATCATGAACCTTTCGATCGTATACATATATTACTATATGTTAGGTTTGCGAGTTAAAGCTTTTAAATGAAAACTTTCACGTTACGAAAAGCATTAATTTAGAGTATTGGTTTAAAAATGTCATTTGTTGAAATGCTAAAATTCAAAATTTAACATTCAAATTTTTTACTAGCCTTAAATCATTATCTTTTCCTTTAGATGATGGAGATTTAAGATACTTTTATCAACGTGCGATTTTGAATATTAATGATCGTTTTTAGAAACAAAATTTTTAATAGAATAAGGAATAATATACTGGGTGGAACTTTCTAAAGAAACCGTACAAAAATTAAATTTTGCTTTTGTTTACTGAAAGGTGTCTCGTGACTGCACTTACCATAGTTAGAAATCCTAATTTATTTAATTTATTTCTTAAACCGTCACCATGGTTCCACAGCGAACCTTTCAAAGGGTTTTCGTTTGTACAAATAGCTTTGAAACAACTTCTAAGTATACCTATGAGTACCATAGTCTTGGATACATAAACCAAAAGGCTACGAAAAGTATTTTTCACGAGCCCTATAAATTTACCATGTACGGAATTATAAAACGTTTGCTACTGAAACTTTTAGTATAGTTTCGATCATAATGTTCTCCAAAATTTCAATAAAAACGTAGCTGCCTAGTAACATAAAAAAATGTTTTTGGTTGATTATTGTTTCTATTTGCACTGATCTTCGTGTACTTTGCCTCTCTGATATTACAAAAATACTTATCTTGGAATGACGGATTTTAAAAATAATGTATAAGATGTGAATCAATATTGATTAATAACTGGAAATTGCAAAATTATATAAATTTTCTTATTGCTTTTCTCAAACACAAAGAAAATAGTCAAAATAGTAAAATGTTTATTTCAATTATTTTACAAAAATAAACACATTGTACCATTATTCAAGTGAAAGTTTGAGCGGAACATTTCAGAACTCCGGTGTGAAGGAAAAAACGTTTGTTCGTGCTTTTAGTTTTTATAAACGTTTTCCCAATTGTATCAGTAACTGTCTAGATATTAATCTGTTCATAGACTGTCCAGAGTTTTCAGCAACTGTCCAGAGATTGTTTAGAATGTTAATCAGCACATCAAAATAAATTAAATGAAATCTTAGAGTACAGAAGTAATTTTTCAATCGCTTAAGTTGGCATTATCTAGCTGTTTGAGGTTACCGAACGGGAGTTAGTTTGAATTGTGGCCTATGATCTTCTTTAACTTGAAACTTTATTAGAACTGTTCTGTATAAAATTAGAGTAATATTGTTATTTTAAACAGGATAGATATAATGAAAGTGACTCAACTCGTACAGCCTGTTCTGGTTAACGTATTTCATTTATCGTGATATATAAGTTATATGGAACACGGAAAAAAAGGAAACTGCAATAAAAGTGATAGTTTAGATTTCGACCTCTAGGTGGCTCTTTTTGTAAAATGTAGAAGTAACGTTATGCAAGTCAGGAACTCTTGAAAACGCTGCTAGTCAGTGGTGTAAAACCATTATTCATCATACCTTTGTAAAAGAGGTATAAAGCTTTATTAATCAGAACTGCAGTAATTAATTGTAGTAACTGTTTAGATGCACTTCAAGAATATCGATGTTTGAAAGGTTTCCTAAAAGGGCATATGTCGAAGACTATTTTCAAATGTTCTTAGGAAAAATCCAGAAACATATTTCAAATGAAACTGTGGAAGAAATCGGTAATGCTGTGTTTGTCACAGCGTTGTGTTCCTGATACTCTACAAATGTTCGAGTGGTTACTATGTTACTACAAGGGCGAATACCCCAGCTTTCCCGGACGACGATTCAGCCACAAAGCCTTTTAGAGGCCAGCCCGACAAAACAAAATAGAACTGAGAAAAACAAGAATAAACAGTGTTCGAGCGGTGTCATGCGATTTGTCTAACATTTGGTTTACTGTCCGAAAGGTTTTGCAATCCATTTAAAATGGTATCTGTATAAGATCAACATGGCGCGAAAGCTGTACCCTACAGACTATTAACGCATTGTTTCCCTTGGCGTTTTTTGGCGAGAACAGCCATTGATATTCATGCCTTTGGAACATATTATGAACAAATGAGGCATGTTTTGTTCCAGATGAAGTAGTAAATACTGGAGTACTAGAATTTCCATTGCTGGAGAACAACAGCATCTGCAGTTTTTTTGTGTGGTTATATGTGTTTTTCTCTGTTCATAGGAGTGTACTCCTGAAACCCTTAGAATGTGTACTATCACGAGACCAATTACTGCGATCTTCTGCATCAGCAAATTATTCCTGCGTTGCAAGACCAAAAATATTCAGAGACTATTGCCTTCATGCAAGATGGTGCAACTTTCCTGATTCACCAACATGTGAAATAATTGCTTTGTGCTCACTTTAAAGATTGAACGTGTAACTTCAAAAAGTTTTCTGAATGTCTGGTCTCTCATTCTCATCACTTGATTCCCTGTAATTTCTAGTTATAAGGATTACTGAAGGACTGTGTTTTACGGACCTGACTGAACTGAAAGCAAGGATGACATACAACGTTGCTGCAGTTCCTCAAGAATCCCTCTGCTCTACTGTTGAATGTGCTAGAATGTTCTTTGAACATGTGATTGACGCAAATGAAATACATATTGAAATTTGCTATATTTCTGATATGAATTTAAGATATGACAATAAACCAATTTATTATCTTTTATGGACGGTTCTCGGACTGTTTTCATAGATTTCTTTTCTGTGGTTCTAATCTATGTAAAGACTGTAATATTGTTGAAGACAGCCGACACTTCGTCGAGTCACGACCATTAACGTAGAGCGGAAGGGATTTAAGTTCTGATTACAAACAGCAAACAGTATAAAAATTTTATAGGAAAGCAGTTGCGTTTTCAGGAGAAAAATGAAAGTAATTAGAAATACTGGAGTAGAAGTGCTTGAGCATACAACGTTGTTCAAGCACTGCTACTCCAGTATTACTAATTTTGTTCATTTCATTGTGTGCGTGCAAAGTTCTGTGTTATCGATTTAATGTAACACCAATTATTTTAATATCACATTATCTATTGGTTTGTGTGTATGCGTTCAGATCTAATGGGTAAAATGGTTATACCTATAGATCTATTTTAGGTAATATTTTTGGTTATTTTTTCAACTTTTTTGTTGCACCCTTATTCCTGAACTTTTAAAACTATTTGAGTAATTAAATTTAAGACAGTTTATACGTCTTTAAAATTTCTGTAATATGTATAGGGAGCATGGCTGGCCTTCATTTTATCTCTGCGAAGGCTGTCTTCAATACGACTTTCCGAGTAAGCATTAATTTGTTAGATAGATCGGGACCTCGCCCTTAAATCAAACCAAACCACATAAAAATGTTATTTTTCCAATTTGCGTTAGTTGTATTTTATGCTTCTCTTCATCTGGAAGTTGAAATTCGAATTATTTGTATAACAGTTGTTTTTACACCGTGATCCACGTAACTTATATACTAAGTTTCAAAGAAATACATCAATCAGAACGAACACTACTACAGCTCTGACTAAGGTTATTTTAATTATAAGCACCAACTATCTCTAAAATAATTCAATAAACCTTTAACAGTCACATATATTTCTTAGTGATATGTTCTGAAAAGAATTCTCATCAGTTATTATGAGTTAATCAATCCACTTCATCATTTTTCCAAATTATTGCACATATCGAATTTTCTATCATTATTTTAATCTGTTTCGGAGGAAAAATGTTTAGTTCTGACTTCATTTGCACTGTGATATGGGAAGTCTGCGGTGTAAGCCTGGTTCTACCTCCGAAATCAAAATTGTATCATGCGCTTAATTTGGTGGCAGTAACAGTTAAAATAATGCAGATTGCATTTTATAATTATATAGTACATTAATGTTGTCATAATTTTAGTTGAACTCCTAAGAAATATAATATCAGATGATTATATGTCACGATGAATATTATGTGCTTTTGTTCTACAGTACTGGATTTAAAATAGACGCTTAAAGTTAATTTAAAATGTTAATTATAGCCTTTATTCCATAAATTACTTTTAATATACTGAAGTTAACGCGATTAGTTGATTGGAAGTATTTCTGAATATGATAATTTATCAAAAATATTGACGTATCCAGACGCAATTCATTCTAATTTTAAAGTGATGTTATCCTTATTTTGTTGCTTTGTTCTAAATAGATGCTGTTTTAATGTCCAATGATGAAAGAGATGAAGTATAAAACAGCCAATTAAACTACGAATTATTAGACGTTCAAACACTGACATGAATGGAAGTCTGAAATTATAATATATTTGAAGAATGCATTGTTCTAAGAAGCTCAGATTGAAAGATTGTCCGGTATTTCGTCATCGATTGTATAAAGATATAACGTCCAATATAAAACATTGAATAACGCGAAGGCGCATGGGAACAAAACTCGAGCGTATGCATCAATACGGCTTCCTCTATCTGGATAACATTTGTTCATCATCTTCGAACGTATTTCTCGATAAGTTTTCTTTCTCTTTGCTGGAAATAAACGGCATTTACGCGTGTTTTTTATGGGCGGTTTGTGATGATTCTGACATTCTATAGTCAGCTCAGTGTCTTCACCGTTCTCCTTGGGTAGCTCATCTGCCTGAAACGAAAGACAATGATCGTACTCAGTTCTTTTTAAAATAAGAAAAGAATTGTACTTTAGAACAAACTTAGCAAGTATATAAGCTTTAAATTTCCTATTCTTCTCTATGACAGATTTTCCCATAAATTGTATCTTATAATTTCATCAAATTTCTGAGAAAAATTTAAAGATTATGTATTCTAAGTAACATGAGTTGCATAAGCTTAAATCAAGCGGTGGAGTGGTAGAAATTAGCAGACATAAGAATAACAGATAAGGAATAGACAATTTGAAAAATTTCAGATCAAATTTCAATGAATAATTTACAGGAGCTGCTTGTAAGAACAGCCAAAACGAATGCAAGCTTTATACCTTAAGTGATCATCATACATTGCTGAAACGAGCAGAAAATTCTGAAACAGCTTCAGCAGCAATACGAATTCTGACAACAAAGTCCTAACTAAAATCGATGGGTCTGTCGAAGATAAGGCTTTTCGAATGGTCCAGTAAGAAAACGGCCATACATGAGAGACTAAGCAACCGTTCCGAGCATGTGATGGAATCACTCCGACAAATCCATTATCTTGGGAATGTTGCATACGAGCTCTTCCGCCTAACCACTTTGAAGTGTGTTGTTCTTCTATCGCATTCAAACTATATACGTGCTTTAGTGTTTATTGGAAGAGACAATAAATATCTCAAGACTTCTCATAGAAATACTAGATAAATTCTCTCATCCACTTTGTCTGGTAAAAACATGGTCAAGCAAATGGTCACGGGGATTCCAGGTTGAATATTTCCTGAAAATCACGGCTGGTGCAAATGTCATTAGGTGGTATGCGGATTAATGATTCCCACGTATAAGAATTAAGGTAACTGAAAATTCCCTTACATGAATTCATTAGTTTATTAGATACGCGCAGCAAATTCCGGCTGTAGTCTGCTGAAGTAATCAGGATGAAAATCTGTACTAGACTGATAATCTGCAAATATCAAAGGTTGTATCATCTGTGCTTAGTAAGATTATAATCATTCGTCTTCTATTATGTCAACTGGGCATACATACAAACGTATACCATTGATTGTAGCATACTTACGTAAGCAAAGAAAAATTCCCGACTTCTGTATTTGGGAAGATTTCTAACAGCAGGCAGAGTTTCAAAATAAAACATGGTTTCCTCACACGCTTTGGATTCCCTGTGTCTTGCAAGACACTGAAAGAGAAGCTTGTTACTCACAGATACACACAATTCTTCAGAGGTTTTAACATGTGGCGTTATGTCCTGTATGAAAGCGTTTCAATGCCGTCTTTGGTCTTCCTTTACATTTCTGTTTACCAGCAGCAGAGATGCAAATTAGTTGAACTCTAGTATTTCTCTCGAGCTCAAATCCTCCAAAATAGGCTGGCCGCTTGGAAGCTTTCGTGGTTTCCCTACATGTAACGTAAATATGAGCCAGTTTTCCTTAAACATCCTCCCCAAAGCCGTTCTTTCCCTAAACCAGATAGCCTTCTAATGCTTCACCATAATTTAAATTATCCTAATCCAATTTCTTCGCATTTTCACTTGCAGCTTTGTGCAAGGAAAGCATATGCGTCTTCGAATGCTTCATAAAATAACTCAGTCTTCACAAAATCCATAGTAGAAATGATTTCGAGTGCAAAACTAGTGCTTATACGCCTCATTAGCTACATTATAATATGAAACAGTTAAGAAACCCAAATTTATCGTCGCTAATTTATTTAGGAAAAGTAGACAGAATAGTGCCCGGGTTTTGAATCATTAGAAATAAAACTGTGTTGCCTGTAATAACTGGAATACAAGAATAACCTTCCAAAATTAGTAATTATGAATCAAATGCCAAAATAAGTAAGACAACAAAGCACAATTCAAACATGTGAAGAAGGTTGAAGGGGCTATGGCAAATAAATATTCATTACATCTATAAATAGTGCAAGCAGCTCCAAGTCATTTTTTCAGTTTTTTCTTACATACCTCTTGGCAATATATTTTTGCGTATCATACCTTTTACATGAGCATTATATTTGTAATTAATAAAAGTTTTGTTGCAAGTAATTATTTGAAAAATGGAATGAAAAATAAGTGTAAGAATATCATGAACGGACTGGGCATATTATATATACGATATATACATATTTAGTGCTCAAAATATAAATTTTACAATTTGAACCCTAAATGTAAATATGTACATAACAAAAGTGTAACATAAGCATCTTAAGCATAAAGCTGTGTTCTTGTTTTCTCCAATATTAATAAGCGCTTTTATTTTAAATCTGGTATTTAAAGTAGCATTATTGAAAACGTTTGCACTGGCAATCAAGAAAAAATTCCCTTGTTTCCTTGATTGCCTCTTCGACAATCAGGAAGAATTCATCTTTCAAGGGCTGCAATCCAAACGTTCGTTTTGGTCATGTTTTGACCAAAGTATTTCTGGTAAAGATGCCTTTTAGATTTTTCATATACTCAGTTATTTCCTCACTCTTTTCCTGTCACAGCAGTAGACACGAAACTCTATGAAGTTTTGTGTTCTTCACCTGCCCCTCTTTGTATGAATTTCAAAAACCTAATTGTTGAATCGAGAGCTCAGTTTTGTGTGTAACTTTAAAAGGCGTTTCAGGAATTATTCTGATTAATTTCCAAAACATATCTGATAAGTAGGCAAGAGTCTGTATCTAGTGAAATTTGAGTCTCCTTACCTATCAATGTCTAGAAATAAAATTTAAGGTACAGAAACAAGAAACAACTCAAATGTTTTAATTTGAATAACTATTTTCAATTTTCCAGTATTCCACCTCAGTATCATCAGATATGTTTTAAATTATTCAAAATATTTCTTTTTTGAATAAGGAGTAATGTTTACTTTTCTCACCTTTTCTTCTAGCACACTCTTGACTACATCACATATACAATCGTAAGTTTTTGGTTATAGTATAATTCTGACAACACTTGTCAATACCATAGTTAAAGCAAGAATTCTGTTTATAGGTGTTTACGGTAATTATAACATATTTTGATATTTTGTTCAATGGTGAAACCTATCTGGTTCCCCTTTTGAATAACTCAAGTTTTTACTCTAAATGACACAAAACGTTTTCAGTATAATCCATTACCTCCCCAAACAACACCTCTTTGGTTGTTATGTCTCTCTTTTCCTATAATCAAAATCCATACTTCATGAATATATCGCAATAATTTATCTTTCTGCTTGTTCAAAGATGTGTGACTAGAAATTCTTGGAGATTAGTCAGTTTTCACACCATATTTAAGTTTTCTAACGGTGACAGTTTTCACTCTGTGTTATTGATGATAAATGAATTGGAAAATAACTTGTTGGAAATGACTTGAATTAATGTAACAAATATAACACAGAGAAGACAAGCAAAAAATCTGCTCACAGGAACAGCTGAGGTATTCGTTTGTTTATTCACCGGTAACACTAATGTCAAATGGTATGTTCCGCTGTCAGTTTATTTGAATAGCACCTAAACGTTTTTAAATCAGACAAAATTACATTTTGAAACTTGAGTTTACTTTCATTATTGTCTCATAGGTAATGCATCTTGATTTAACTGCCATCAGTTTTCCATAAATAATGAAACTTAATTTTGCTGCCATTATTGTCTTATAAATAAAACGTTTTTGAGAGTGAAGAATAAAAAACGCTTTATTTTGTAAACTAAAATGTTTCCTTTTATAACTGATGAAAAAATAATTTTCAGGGGATGTAAGACGCTACAAAAAGCACATAAATTTAACATGTTAAAAATGCAGAAAAACCCATGAAATCAAATGAACTGAAAAACCTCTAATATAAACCAAACTTAATAAAGAAAATGGGGCTAGGTTTTAAAAACTGGGGTTTAAAAAGTGACATTTCTGTTAAGCAATAAGTATAAAAGTAATTTAAAATGAATGAACGCTATTTTATTTTAAACATAGGATATGTTTGCTTTTAATCCAAAACCAGTAACTTTCTTAAGGTGCAGTTTATACAGGACAGTTTTAACATACGAAGTAATGAAGAGTAGAAATTGTCATTTGCAGATTCTTAAACAGATATCCACGGCACATTGAGAAAATACACACTCATCAGTACTCATTTAGTAGTTCTCTAAGTACTTGACATTCTTTCATTAAAAGCTGATAATTCTCATTTTTAGAAATAATTCCTTTAATCCCTTCAGTTTAACTGTAAATTATCTCAACTTTTATTTAAAAAATTTTAAAGTTCCCTGCATATTACCTGCAACCAACATATTTTTTAATATTGTCAGTAACTGAAAGCTATATCTCGATTACCGTATTTTAAATGATGTTAGTAAAAAAGTAACTGCATTTTCTCATTGCTTTAGGCGGGCACAGGCAGCTATCAAGGGAATTTGGTAACCAAGACTCTTTTAAAAAACTAATTTTATTAAAATTAAAATAAAAAAATGACCTACCGATCGTAGATATATTGTATTTAAAGAAAAAGTATGCTTAGTACGTACTATTTTTATTAAGAATAATCATGCATTATACGAGTACAGAAATGTAACTGCATAATATGTAATTTCAGAAGGTGGAATTCTTCGAATTTCAACAGATACTTCAAAACTGAGAAAATTGTGCAATTTTAAATTATATGAATTTATAAAATAAGTAACAAAATAAATTTCAAAACAATAATTTCTGTCGTAGTTATGTTACCCTGAATATTATTTTTATATTATGTAAATTATGATTTTATCTTTTTTCTTAAGAGTCTTCCTGACTTTTAGCTGCACAAGTTTTAAAATTATTTTTCGTATTTTTAATTATTCATATATAAGACTTCTCTTAAATTTTATTTACTGTTTTTGCGCAAATGTTTTCTATACATTTTCTTAAATAAGTTGTAAAACATTGTAGAAATAATGAAACAATATAACTGATACTGATAAACTTCACATAAGAAATTAAGACAATGACAGAATAACAGATGTGATTAATTACACTGCATGTAAAGAGGAGAGAATAAATATGATAGAAATTTTACTAGCATTAGAACTGAATAGTATATAAGAACTTAAAAACACAAACTTCAGAAATTCCATGTTGCATCAAGAACTCCTTCTTCCTTTGCCGTTTTAGTAAGTCATTTCTGTCAACAACATTGACGCATGCGTATTCAACCATGGCAGCAAATACGAATGAGAAGCATAAAATAACAAACCAATCTATAGCTGTAGCATAAGCAACTCGTGGTAAAGAAGATCTTCCACCAAATCCCATTGTTACAAGAGTTAAAACTGTAGTTGCTCCTAAAAATGGAAATAAGTATTAAAAGTAATCACTAGGAACAAAAAAGGAGAAAACCTCAATAAATTCTTCAAAAAATGAAAATATTTTCCAAAATTAAAACATTGTTAAGTAGGATTTGAGATAAATTGATTTTGTAAAATTCGGACAAAGATATGAGCAAAATTGATGAACAAAATTTAAGAACCTATGAAAATGATTAGGATAATTAGTAAAAAATCGAAGGACATCTTATCTCATTAATTGAAGTTGCTGATGGTTTCTGAAGAAAGAAAAATCAAGATGCTTAGAAATTAGTGTTACCGAATTATTTTTTTTACACCAGTAAATGTCCTCTGACTGCAATTTCCTTTCTAAACTAGGCCCACCAGCGGCCGAGCGGCAACGTCGCTGAACACTGGTAGTTCGGTTCGAGGTTCGAATCCCGCAAACGGGCTGGCTGCATGTGTGTTTTCGTGATTTTCCCCATGTGTAACGTGTATACGACCCAGTTTTCCTTAAAACGTCCGCCACGAAGGCATCCCTCCCTTAAGGCAGATAGCCCTCGAGTGCTTTGCCGTAATCTAATGAACCAAACCAAACCTTTCTAAACTAGAATGCGGTGACAAGTCATTAACAACACAGGATTACAATTGCTTGCAACTTTTGAAACTGAAAGATATTTCGCAGTATGCAGACTATGGTTCATAGTACACAAAATATTCAAATAATTAATATTTTTCAAGTTGTTCTCCATTCGTAGTGGTAAGAATTTTTCAAAACGTTATCTGAATTTGGTGGAAGGCATGATTTGTAGCATTTAAAGAAAGAATTTATTTTATTATTTTCCCACTAAATAAATGCGATTGCACTGCGTATTCAATTTATTCGTTGCTACTGAGAATGACTCATAGAAACATGATGATTTTGCGTTGATAGTGACGGCTATTGTTGGAAATCTAATGCGAAACATAGTTGCAATTACAAATGTCCAGATCTTACGAACTCTATGAAATTTTTTCTTGACAAAACTATTTCCTAAGCCACTGCAAATTTAGTTGTATCTCTTTTCGGATTGTATATTAACGTTATACTCTTTTGTCACTACTAGTTGTTTTATATGCATCCTATTCTCTTTCTGCTTTTGAGGTCGCGTATCGTAATCGTATGCTCTACTAAAGTCCTCGTTTTCACTGTTTTACGATGCAGCTTGAACTGAGAATTATCAGAAAAATTTTCTGCCTTCTACTTAATACAAACTTAACTGTGTATAAAAACTGGTAGCGTTCATAATTTACAAAGACTTGGGTAATGTATAGGAATTAATTGATACTTTTATCTAACAATTATAAATAATTTCGTGACAACGTTAGAAGAAATTATATTATATACGCATTTCAAAAAACCACAAACCTTGTTGAATTTCGAAACTAATGTAAGATATTAAGTACTGTATGATCTGTCCTTGATGTTTAGGGAACTGCGTTCTGCTGCCTTGATGGAGTACACCTTCAGTAAAACTTAAATAAATCTCAGATTCGTAATCTTGATTGAACCTCGTTTATTTCCTTCTTAAAACGTCACGATGGTTGAAGAAAGGTGACTCGCCAAACGGGACAAAACTTCGAATTTTAACTTGTAACCTGAAAAGAACATCTACGCTGTTCGAACTCCCGTAATTACCAGTTGAAGCTCCAATCCCATGCTTAAAAATCTTAACTAGTTTGCGTTTGCGCCGCTCTTTAGCTAAGTGAAAAAAATGCAATTTGCATAAAGTTAAACAAATACAGTGTCACGGACGCTACATGTCACGGGAAGTAATAGTCCACTCAGATAACAAAGTTCGAATCATAAGATCATTTTCGTAACATAGTTTTACTCCACATTTATAGCATAAAGTCTTTACACTACACTTCTCTTTGCGCACTCATTTTGAGAATTCCATATGTTATATCGTGGAGCAAAAACAATTTTACTTTACACCTGACTGCCACTGGCTCCGACATAGCAATGTGAATACTCTACATCTAAAATTGTAAAACACCATTCCAGAAATTTAAATGTTTATTTAATAGAATTCTATTCATATATTTGCAAGTTATACACTATAAACACAATAACAAAATTTGAACTTATCTGCACCAGCGTGAATAAGCCTGGCATAATATTCTGAACTCGACGCAACTTTAGGAGGAAAATTACCGCAAATTCCAACACAAGGTTTCATCCTTTCCAATGCAGCTAATTTTCTAAATATATATTACTAATATCCGCAACGGGGCAGCGAATTCATTTCATTCACCCAAAACTCAAATGTTTCAACGCCATAGTATCGCAAAGGAAACCATCGACTCAAAATCAAAATATTAAAATCTATAGAGTATCATCCGCTGTTGCCATTCCAGCACTGCCAAGTTTTTTTTCTTCCTGCAGCTGTTGCCAGACTTATCCTCGCTGTATGATGAGAGGTACAACACCATATAAATTTCAACTTCTCAACATTCTCAAACTAAAATTATTCTTACATTAATAAGATTCGGGTTGATCTTTACATTATGGTAACTTGGCGTTTTTTTGGCGAAAATTTGGCGACCAACTCTCATACAGCAACCCTCTATTTTTTTTTCCCGCCGCCATTTTGTCTTCACGATGTAAAGACATGTTTCTTTTCTTTTTATCTACTGAACACTTCTTCCAACAATCTACTAGCCGAATTACACTTATGCTAGAAATTTTATCTAACAAAACTGCTTAATCATGACAAATATTCACTGCAAAATTGGGAAAAAAGCAGTGCAGAATACCATACTCCTTACGCGTTTTTTCAAAATAACACATACACATAAACCATGTCCACGCCGACTTATTTTACTTAAAAAAACATCCCAGAATAGCACAAAAAAATGGCATTGCGCACACTCTTCACTATATCCATGTACACTGCTTTTTTTCTCATAAATTAGAAAAATTTCACGAAAATACATGACAATTTTCTCAATCTTTAAACCCGGTAAAAAGAACATATGAAATTACCTGATCGCGAAAAAGTATTTACCCTTTCCAAATATGAACATTTCCACATATAAAATAAATAAAATATCCAAAAACTTTTACCTCTAAATCATCTATTACATTATACACGTCACCAACGAATTCATACCGCAAGCATTACAAATACTTAGTATCAAAAATTTAAATTATTTCCATGCACGTTTACTTCAACTTAAACGTGTACCAAATTCCTACAAACATAAAATTCACAAAATAACTATCATTTAATTAAAATATCACTAAACCATGTACCACGTCGAATAATTTTTCTACTTAAAAAAAACATCCCAGAATTGCACAAAAATGGCATTGCGCACACTCTTCACTATATCCATGTACACTGCTTTTTTCTCATAAATTAGAAAAATTTCACGAAAATACATGACAATTTTCTCAATCTTTAAACCCGGTAAAAAGAACATATATGAAATTACCTGATCGCGAAAAAGTATTTACCCTTTCCAAATATGAACATTTCCACATATAAAATAAATAAAATATCCAAAAACTTTTACCTCTAAATCATCTATTACATTATACACATCACCAACGAATTCATACCGCAACCATTACAAATACTTAGTGTCAGATATTTAATTATTTCCATGCACGTTTACTTCAACTAAAACGTATACCAAATTCCTACAAACATAAAATTCACAAAAATAACTATCATTTAATTAAAATATAATTAAATTCAAAAACACTACTTAAAAACATAAATGAGCACATACATTAAATTAATACATACATAAATACCCATTTTCGAATTCACTTTAGTTACGGCCATGGGATCCAAAAATTCACGAACACTGTTTCACACAACACAGAATAAAGCCAAATACAAAATTTCCAGATTTTTTTCCCGATTTCCCCCCTTTTCCGATTAAAGAACCGTAATTCGTCCATTAATATCACATGACATATCCCATGATCTCTCATTTCCCTCACACAAAATAATGCGTAATCGGAACTGAGTACTGCTCACATTATTACCAAAGTCCCAGGTAGTAACCTTTATCGCCTCCAAAATGTCGCCAAACTACCAGTTACCATATTGTAAAGATCAACCAAGATTCGTAATGAGTTTCATACTCGTAGTTTGGGAAACATCTCTAGGAACTCAGAGCGCAAAATCTAACTTCTTTTTTCTAGAATTCTGAGAGACCTGAACTAAAGTTGCCAAAACGATTTCAGTAAACTTTTCACTGAACCGTGGAGTTAGAATAACCTCGTTGAAGCTTCACGTTCTTCCCTTACTAAGAACTGAGTGAAGCTATTTCTCAATAGGCTCCTACCTAAGTTAACATTTGACCTCGAAATATTAACTTATATGATGAAGTTAAAATGCTAATATCCATGAATCTGAATCACGCACTTTATATAAATACAATACTTTAAACAAGTATTTACAAAATATATATTAATGTCTATTCATATTAAAACCGCAAATTCAACTTTTTGTTTAACTTAATTGTTCTTCAAGTTCTGGTAACCATTGGTACGGGACTTCCATTTTTACAGTTAGGTATCGTAGGCCTATTTTCTACAGAAACCGCAGTCTTTTTTGCGAGGATGATAGGATTATGGACAAATATTTCTAATGGGTCAAGGCGCTGAATCTGTCTAAGTATCTGTCCATGAGAACCACAGAACCAGTCTCGTTACTCCATCTTTTTCTGGCATAATCTGGATAATTTTCCCAAGTGTCCAACTGGTCATCTTAGTTCTGTCATTTGCAGTTAAAACAGTATCACCAAAATAAATTGTCCATAAATTGTCTTGCAAAAGCTGTCTAAATTTTGCCCTTTCGTTTAAGCTTTCATGATCTACTGCATCAAAGTCCATATGTTTGAATTTCTTGCAAAACGACTGCAGGACTATTTTCAGTGATGTAAGTCTACGGACGAACATTAATAACTAAATCTTAATCACAGAGCACTGTTGTCATTTTCACGGAAGCATGACCTTTTCTCATTAAATTTTCAAGTATTGCTATCAATCTCTCCTACCAACCACTTCACAATGGGGCAGCAGGTAAGTTAAAATTAATATATCAGCAGCGAAAAGATTCCAATGTAAACTTGGAAACAAGCTTGAAGCTCCAAGAAAGTTTGTGCCATTATCGCAATAGATATTTTTCCTCTGTGAGCTATGAATATACGTAGAGCTAAATGAGAATGCTTCTGTTGAGAGTGAAGTTATTAACTCAAGGCGTACGCGGGTCGATAGACATGTAAATAGGCAAATTCATGGTTTCTGATATCTTTTCCTGTAGGGGCAATTTTGTTTCTGGCTTGCAAAAAAAACGAACTTTAGCATCAGTATTTATTTCGATTTGTAGAAATACTTCATTAGCATATGTGGCATCACAGAAAAAATGTTCAGAAAAATGCTAAGCTTCCTCATATTCAAAGAGTTTTGGCAAATGTGTGTTCATCAAATAAATAAGATCTTTGCTCCATATTAAAAGGTTACTTTCGAAATCAGAATCTTTTTATCATCCATTGTTAACTTTTTTTCCAAATTTTCTGAAGCAAGAACTTAGGTTTCAAAGACACAGGACATGTTAGATGATACGTGTCAAATATTTAATATGCAGCAGAAAGATTTATTTTTAATTATTATTAATATAATTTATTTATTAGTAATTTTCTGTAAGCACAACTCTTTCAAGTTATTGGTATTTATATGCAGTTAATTGCTGGTTACAATTAGCAGTATTTATACTATACAAGTAATTGGTGTTCATACTGGTATTTTACTTAGATTGTCAGATTTTATACTTCAAGCAAAACCAAATACATTTGTCTCAGCGGAGTGCAGAAAATTAGGATCACCATCTAAATTCAAGTTTTTCCTCTTCCATTACTTCAGTTGTTGTTGTCTTGTCCATATTACATGGAACAATGGTTGACAGAGCCTACTCTAAAGAGAGATTACTTCAGTTGAATCTTGAATGTAAGTATTCCGATTTAACTCGCACTTAGCACTAGTAACACAATTGTTAATGTAAAATCTGTTAAGAAGCTTCTAAATGATGCTTTCAGGATATGACGGATTATCAGGTAGTATTTCTTTAGGACTGTTTGCACATGGTGTGTGGAAGAATCTAAAATGAATAGGCCGCGTGGCATTTCGAGAATATTTGTATCGAATTATATCTCAACTGCTGCAATGCCATTAAAACGTCAATAATATATATTAGCAGGTAAAATACTTATTGTTAAGAAAGCTCTGCGCATATTAGCAGGTAAAATACTTATTTTTAAAATAGCTCTGCTCTTATCAGCAATAATGCTTATCCGTTCAGAATTAAAAACGGGTCAAAATGGAATAAACTTGATAAGATTTTTCTACTTTTTATAAGGAAATTACTAAGCCTAGGTGATACTTTTACTTTAGCGGAAGCATCAAAAACTTGCCTGATTTTAAGTCGTACTGTTTTCTTTTATGACTGGAACGATGTGATAAGTAACGTACCGAAACCTTTTGCTTTCCTCGACCTTCCTCTATAATTCCTTCGTTTAGCTAATTTTTGAACACTTCCTCGTATTCTTCATATAGGGATCGTGATTTCAGACGTTTTCCTGTTGTACTGAGCCTCTTCAACGCTAAATTATAAATATCAGGCAAAGGTGGATGATCTTCTATACAAGTTAAATGCACCAACAAATGATTATTCTCTACACTAATAGTTTCTAAAAAGTGTTTTCTAGAAGCGTCATGAAGCTCTGCTCTTTCTTTCTGCACAGAGGGATCATTAATGCCAAGAGTATATAATGTCTTCAATTGTGAATATGCTTCTTTAACTAATAATAAACAGGTAATGATGTACAGTTCTCTTCGGATAAAGCTTTTTTTTCATTAGATCCATCAAAGAGCCTATCCCATCTTAGTCACAGTAGCTCACAGTCCACATGATAAAATGTTATAACTAATTGTCATGAAGTTACCTACTACATTAACGCCAATAAGCAATTTCAGTCGAAACTTAATTGCCATCAGCAGTAGGAATATCATTATATAAAGTTTTTCCTCACAAAATGTATACTCAGTCTCTCAGGTAACGGTCTGACTCAAAATTTTAAAATTACTACAATTGTAAATTACACCAATAGTGTTAAAAACAATGTAAATACATCATGATTACATGGTTCTGTGCTATTACTCTCTAAAAGTAAATATTGAAAGATTCATAGCTTTGAATTTTATATCCCATCGCTTTGTTAGTGACTTGCAATAAACATGAACATTGTGACGCTGAATCAATTATTGCTCTCACTTGCGCATTTTTTCATTTTTACCTATATGGATTATTTTGAAGCAAGAGACGTGAAAAATGAGCAGTGCCCTCGCCGGGACTTGAACCACGGACCTCTCGAATACACGCTGAGTGTGCTGACCATTAAACCACAAAGGTATGTTAAGATGGCAGGAGAAATACCTTATATACTCTCCCTTTTTAAAGGGTGACTGGGATTAGGAAACCCAATCGCCAAACCCTGGTGGGAAAAATCGTCATCCAGCAGCTTTTACTTCGGGCACCGCTGTAGAGAAATTAGGATATTTTGGAAGCAGGAGAGATGAAAAATGAGCAATGCCCTGGCAGGGATTCGAACCACGGACCCCTCGAATACACACCGAGTGTGCTGTCCATTACATCATGAAAGCATGCTAAGATGGCAGGAGGAATACCTTACAGAATTAAAATCAAAAATGCATTTAGAGATTGCAAAACATTAGCAAGCGTTTATCTTTTTTAGAGTTGTTCTCTGGTATCTGTCTCTTTTCCAAAAATGTCAATAGGTGATTTTTGACAAATGCTTCATCAGAGCAATATGGGACGTTTCATACTACAGCATAAGTACTCTACCTTAAACCTGGCGAACATGATGCCATGGTTTTAAACATAAGAAACAACAGCGAGATTTTTCTACAAAATTCTCTGTCTCTTTCTATGCCATCTTGTTAGTTTTAATACATCTTTCAGAATTTTGAACATTTCAGCAAAATATATATTTGTGTGTCCTCTAGGTGAAATTAAAAAATATCAGTTTCACTTGGAACCTGCGCAGCGTTTTCATATTTTGAATTTATTACTCGTAAAACAGTTATTAGTGTTAAGTATGTCGTTACCTCTAAAATTCAATTTTGTTTTCGATTTATTTCTGTTTTTGTGGTAATTAATACTATTATTGTAATTAAATTAAATTCTAATAAGATAAAAAAGCTGTTATTCATGAGATAGGAATGTATTGATTAGATAATTTATAACACATTTGATTTTCATTTATTTTCAGTTTACTATTACGTTTAAATATCAGCAGAATCTCAATAGCTACACATTTCTTCGGTATCTTGAGGAACGCCTAGTTGCCGAGGCTTCGTTTTGGATCAAACAACTTTAAATTATTGTATCTTACTAAGAAATACTAAATAGTTCTGAATTTTATTTGTTGCTTAAATTAGGATCCAAAATAAGTGTAATTTCATGCGGGGAAATGAGGATTTTGTTGAGGCGATTTGAAATGTAATAGCATAATCTCAAGAGTAACTGATTTTATATATTTTTAAAATCAAATTTTTAAAATCAAATTTTTAAAATCAAATTTTAAAATAAATTTTTAAAATCAAATTTTTAAATTCAACTTACCAACAGCCACTCGACCAGGAGCATCACTTTTGTTGATCCAAAATGAGACCCATGAAGCACCAACTATCATCGCGCAAGGAGCGTAAATCTGTAGGATAAAATATCCTCTTCTCCTTCTTAGAATAAATTGTGCTGTAAGTGAAGAAGAACCTGAAAAAATAAAGAAAGAATTCACGTTTTGATATTTTACTTTTTTTTTCAATAAACAAGGAATAAACAAAGGAATATTTAACTTCTTCACAGTATTTATGTTAGTTTCAAAGTAGCCTAAAATCCTTATTAGAAATCACTTTTTGTGGAATTAATCCCAACATAAAGAAGTAAAAGCAAAAATTAGCAAATGAGGATGATCTTCTATACAAGTACATTGAACATTAACGATTAAGTATTTCTGGAATTAAGACCATGTTGAAGCAAAATAATTCTCATTTGATCAGAAAGGGGGGAAATGAAGAGGCTAAAACATTTTTCTAAATGAAAGATCAAGGGTCTAGAGATGAGTTCTTTCAAAAACTGTATTTTTTTTATTCTGTGGTTCGAAAAGAGTCATTTTATATGGTTAAGTAATAATATCAACGTAATCTGCAAGGGTACAGCAAATTACAAATAAATTCGGTTTGGGAAATGAATAATGGTTCGGTCGATTTTAAATAGAAATATGCATACTATGATAGGACAGTTGACCTCTCCATACTTGGGAATGGTACGGAATGTCTCATTATTATACTTGGAACACTTGCAGCGATGATTCACAACACATTACAAATCTCATCATAAACAATCTTTTGAAAGCAAAAGCCAGAAATTCTTTAGCCTGAAATTCTAAGCAAAAGCCAGACTTTATAAGACTGAACGGTCAACCAATTAACGTTTTGCAGTTCAATGGAGGACTATATCGTTTTTACGCTAGACTAATATAAGCTCAGTATCAGTTATTTAAACCTATTATTAATGAACAAAAATAAAGCTTCAACATAAACTTCAGTCTAGAATTTTTAGTTGACCGTTATAAGTTCCGCTATATTATACCTATACTTGGCTATATAGACGTATATGGGACTTTCTCACACGCAGTAAAATCTCTTGTTATACCCCAAGCTTTCTTTGTCTTAGTTAAACGAATATACGATTAGTGGCACAGGAAACACAGCTGAAACAGTTGTGTAGATCTACTGAATTTGTTCATGAATTTTGAGCCAAAATTAAAGCTACTTGAGACTTGCGATGTTGCACGAACATTTTGTGGATTCGATGATAATTAAAAGGGAGACCATTCTTAAAACAAAGGGAGGAACAAGAAAATGTATGATGTATTTTTAAGCATTGTATTAAAATAATTATTTTAAAGTTTTTTTCTCCTGTTATTTTTCCTCCTTCTAATAATTGCTTTGCTAAAACTTTCTTTTTATTTGCGGAATAGTTTCTAAACAGGATTATTTCTTCTCTTTGTCGGAAGCTTATTGCAACCGACAGCTCTCCTCTCCAAATATTCTTCAGAATGATATTTTAGCATCTCGGAATTCTATTAAAAATAAATTACTGTAATTGGTTAGTCAATAAAAATCATTATTTTATATATTTTTATATATGAAAAGATAATTTTTGCCACAAGTGTGTATTCGAATAAGACCGTGTGCTCGTATCTTAATAAAAATGACAGAGCAAAATCCGACGACTCTGTAAATTTATTATAATTTTTCGTAATTTATTCATTTCGTAATTTCTATTTTTTCCAAAATCTAAGTTATGTTAGAAAACGTAACTTATATTGGATAATGAAAAGATAAATTTTCAGTGACAAGAAGTAATACTGTATACTACTGAAGTCGTCGTAAATAAGAAGTACGTACATTTTTCACGTCACTTTTTACACACAGTTTTAAAGAGCTTGAGATTAAAACTTATGTTAATGCAATTAAATGCATGCTAGTTATTTGAATATGGCAAAAACACATGAGGTCAATCTGCAGGTCCAATTATAGGAATTATATAGGAATCTAGGAGTCTAATTAATAAATACTATTAATTTTGGGTAACTCCTTTTGTTCGCTTGTTTGCTATTCAACTTTAAAATGGCCCACCAGTGGCCGAGCGGTAAAGACGCTGAACACTGGTAGTTCGGTCCGAGGTTCAAATCCCGCGAACGGCCTGTCTGCATGGGCGTTTTCGTGGTTTACCCCATGTGTAACGTGTATACGAGCCAGTTTCCCTTAGAAAGTCCTCCACGAAAGCATTCCTCCCTTTAGGTAGATAGCCCTCGTGTGCTTTGCCATGATCTAATAAACCAAACCAAACCTATGTTTTGATAAATAATCTAGTGCAATTTAAAAATTTTATATTGACTTTTGATTTTCGCATTTAGATGTTTTAAGACGTCTACATTTATAAAACATGCAGTTTTGCCTTTTCTGCTACTAGTTTCTGCGGTTGTCTTTTTGACAACTTGTGCATTCTTCCTTTGTGCTTTCCGAGTTAAAAATTATTTATAAAAATAAGTTTAACATTAAAAAATGTTCTTCCTGTTTAAAAAATTAGTTTTATATATATTTCAGTACATAATGTTTTTCGCGTTGTGTCGAAAGAGGTTATATCTTGAGGATTGACTTCAGATAACATAAAGAATTGTCAATGTACAGTTTTCAAAAATTCTAAATTTCTAATTTTTTTTAAATTTTAATTTGTATTTATGCTTTGTAATTTGTAGTTATGAGATATTTTGGACTCCATCTCCAGAAATGTTCTCGATTAAAACAGAGATGCAGTTGAGCAAACCGAAAGATTTAAAGAACGCTAAATAATGACATCACGGATGTTTATGGATTCAAATAAGCGCCACAATGAAATCAGTGATTAACCACTGATATCGTCTGTCACTTCTAAAGAAACTATTACAATCAAAACACAGATTTTTCAGTTTCAATGGAGCTGCACGCTATCGTTATTTTTACTATACAACTTGAATGTTTTGCAGTTTTCTTTTCTGATTTTAGCGCTTTACAGTGACATTTTACGTAAGATCATAATTTTCAGTCAGGCAACTCGATTAATCTATAGAATGGTAAACATGTATACCGCGTGAAAAAAAAAAAAGAAAAAAGAAAGGAACAGTTCTATATCTCTTCTACTGAGGCGAGATTGACGAAATTCAAATTGTGTTTTTCATGTCTCGAAAGCGCGACTTGGGATATGTATTAGATTTATATATGTAGCATTGTTTTAATATAGGTATTTTGACACAAAATCGGACTTTTCTGAAATGATATGCCAATTGTTTTCCATATTTCGATTCTATGCCTCAAATTATGCCTAAATATTAAGTTTTGTAAAATTTACGGGGAAATTCAAAAATTTATCTTGGCAAATTTTTTTTTCCGTTTGCGCCAAGAATAATTCAATTGGCGAACATCTTAATTTATAGCAACCTATTTTCCTTTGCCTTTTTTCTTTAGGGAAAAGTGTCCATCATTCACACTTTCAAATAATTTTAATAAAGTGCGTAAAGCACATTTGTCGTTATTACCGCTTATAACATATATGCCAGATTTAAAACACTCTAATATTAACGTATATCTTTGTAAATTTTGAATAAAAAACTCTAATATTTTGCAGGTATGCTTAGAAATGCATATACTTTAAGGTAATGGTAAAAATTTATAGGTTATAATTCAAAAGGTTTTCGAAAAATTTTTATAAAAAATATTTAAAAATACAACTTTTAAAAATAAATCATAAAACATGTTAGAATTATCTTTACTTGAAGCCTAAATTTCGAAATTACCTAATTCGTTTTTTACAAAATTAAACGATAACAGGGTTTGTGATAAAGAAATCGTTCCGACAGTAAAACAAAAAATACGTAATGGATAGTTTTAACATTAAATAGATGTCAAATAGAATCGATGCGTCTTAAAATGAGAAAGAGAACTAAGAAAAACAATAAATTAAATATTACTCAGTAGGGCAACGTTACAAAATCGTTCGTTTTCACATTTCTTTTAGAATAAATGCAGCCTATATTTACTTCCTGGAACTTCTTTCATATACTGATTCTGGTACAAACAGACGGTGTTCAAAGATTTAGTATTCAGTTCTCTTAAAGAAGCGCGATCACTTTTGGACAAAAGTAGGTTTCATGCATATAAATAAAGCGTCTTCCCTTCTGTTTTGTCGTGCAACCACTAATTCTTATTTTTAGGATCGTGAACTGTGTTGTTACTGCGAAACAAAATAAATTAATCTCGCTGGAGGCACAGCTTGGTTTCCTGAATTACTAAATAATTGTACTCATGATCTTGCAGAAGGAGAAACGTGCTTAGCATAAATTTTGTCATATGGTTACTGTTTCGGGCATACTTAGTTAACATGTCCGTAAAATGTCATAAGCTCTAAATTACAAAACTTTGCACCAAGAATAGGCCTTTGCAGTATATTTCAGACATCCGTATGCGGGTTCTTGGGTTCCGTAGGATTCATTCGAAAATAAAAATATTCTTTTAATTGATACACGAATTTAGTTGTGAAATATAAGGCATTTCTAAAAAAGAACTAAAACAATTAAAATTACGTATGCATTTTCATGTTAACGAAATAACTTTCTTCCAGTGTCTTAAGAGAAGTAATATAAATTTTATCTCGCAGTTATTTGAGATACATGAAACTGGTATGCTACGCACCAAATAAGACTGCATTCCAAGAATCTGTGGCCCACCAGCGGCTGAGTGGGTAAAGACGCTGAACACTGGTAGTCCAGTCCGAGGTTCGAACCCCGCGAACGGGCTGGCTGCATGGGCGTTTTTGTGGTTTTCTCCATGTATAACGTGTATACGAGCCAGTTTCCCTTATAAAGTCCTCCACGAAGGCATCCCTCCCTTTAGGCAGATAGCCCTCGTGTGCTTTGCCATAACTGAATAATCCCTAATCCGAGAATCTGTAATTTACGTTCTAAAGGCACAATTGTAGGGGATCCATCAATGGCCGAATCGTAAAGTCACTGAAATTTGGCATTTCGGTCCGAGGTACGAATGTCGCCAACGTACTGGCTGCATGGGCGTTTTCGTGTTTTTCCCCATGCGTAACGTGTATACTAGCCAGTTTCCTTAGGAAGTCATCCACGAAGGCCCTCGAGGCTTTGCCATAATGACATAAACCAA